CTGCTATCTTTGTGGTTTACAGTCCATTGCTGAGCCTAAAAACTAGTCCATTTGCTTATAAAGTGATACAACCTAATAAAATAGCCAGGGAATATGTAATAAAATTTAAATTTTGAATTTTTTCTAGCTGACAATACTACTTTGGAAAAACAGTCTTGTGATAAATTACAAGTGTCTAAGACAGGGGTGGGGTACCTTTTTTCTACCCCAGATCATTTGGAGATTTATAACATCATTCATTTGCCATACAAACTTATCAATTTAAAAATTAGACTGCTATATGTTGTCAAACTTTTCATTAATTCACCCCAGATAGGATGGTGTGGCACTGTGGGTTAATGTGCTGGACTACAAAGTCAGTTTGAATCACAAGTTTGGCAGTTCAAGCTCACCAGTTACTAGGAAGCCCTATCTATACAGGGTCACTATGAGTCAGAACCAACTAGACATCACTTAACAACAATGTGATGGTTGGAACTGTGGTTGCCTTAACAGGGGCAGATCAAATGATTTTACAGGCTCTACAAGGACCACATTAGGAGCTCTGGTAGCATAGTGGTTACAAATCAGATTGCTGATCTCAAGGTCAGCAGTTTGAAATTACCAGCTGTTCTGCGGGAGAAAGATGAGGCTTTCTGCTTCTGTAAAGATTTACAGCCTCAGAAACCCTATGCAGGATTCCTATGAGAACCAACTCCATAGCACATAACCACCACCACTACCATAAGGGCCATATAAGGGCCAGACATTCCAACTCCTGATCTAAGATAACTGTATGGACTCTTGATGTAGCACTATAGACTCAGCACTGGACTGTGAACCACATGATCTGCAGTTCAAACCCCCTAGCCGCTCCTTGGAAACCCTACACAGGGTCACTGTGAGTCAGAACAGACTGGATGGCACTTAAAAACAACAACATACATTAAACTGCATGTTGTTGGTGTTGGTGTTGTTACTTGCTGTCAAGTTGGCTCTGACTCATAGCCACCTTATATACAACAGAACAAAACACTTCCTGGTCCTTACACTGTTCTTATACATGAGTCTATTGCTGCTGCCACTATGTCAGTACATTTCATTGCAGATCTTCTTCTTTTTTACTGACCTACTTTACCAAGTAAGATGTCCTTCTCCAGAGACTGGTCCTTCCTGATAACATGTCTGAAGAATGAGAGATAAAGTCTTGCCATGCTGACTTCTAAGGAGCATTCTGGCTGTACTTCATCCAACACAGATTTGTTTGTTTTTCTGGTAGTCCATGGTGTTTTTAATATTCTTCTCCAACACCATAACTCAAATATACCAATTTTAGAACAATCTTCCTAATTAATTGTCCAACTTTCACATGCATATGAAGTATTGAAAATACCCATGTCTTGGATCAAAAACATCTTGGCCCTCAAACTGATATCTTGACTCTTGAACACTTAAAAGAGGTCTTGTGCAGCAGATTTTCCTAATGCAATACATCATTTGATTTCTTGACTGCTGCTTTCATAAGTGTTAATAATTAATTCAAGCAAAATGAAGTCTTTGACAATTTCAGTCTTTTCTCCATTTATCATGATATTATTTATTGGTCCATATGTAAGGATTTTTGCTTTCTTTACATTATGGTGCAACCCTTACTGAAGGCTGTGGCCTTTGATCTTCATCAGCAAGTATTTTAAGTCCTATTCTCCTTCAATAAGCAAGGTTGTGTCATCTGCATATCTCAGGTTGTTAATGAGTTTATTACAACATTGCTTGTAGCAGTACAAAGCTAGAAATAACAAGTATCTATAATTATGTTTAATGCACAAAATATAATGTTATTCAACTATAAAAGAAGTATGGATTAGATGTTTATATTAATACTGGAGATATGGAGATGATTCCAGGACCATCAAGAAAGAAGAACATGAGTGGAGTGTGAGATCCCTACCTAGAAAAGTGATGACAACAGAGACACTTAACAAAGGCTACTACGTGGAGCAGCCATAGGCATCTAGGCCCATAGACTGAGTAAAACTGTGTGCCTATTGCAGGAGACTGACTTGCAGAAAGTGCCCTTGGGACATTTTTACAGGCTGACTAAAAGAGCTTAGTAACACACACTTGCCCAAGTAGGAGAGAGGTCCATATAGCTGAGATTCCAAAGACAAGAGTGAGATGTGCCCACAGAATGGCAGACCACATGCATTCCTGGATGTGCCCACAGTATGGCAGACCACATGCATTCCTGGATGAAGAATTGCTGTGTCCTGAGTTCTTTTTTCATCCTGAATTGTACTCTCTTCACTTCTCTAATAAGCCCCATAACCGTACAAAAATAATTGGAGATATACACTTGAATTCATAATAAAAAGCTACAGAATAACGTACTTAACATTACTTAATGTAAATCCTTTATGTAAAACCAATTATCAACAACAAAAAGAACCATACATGTTATTTTTACATTTGTACAAACATGCAATTTTTAATACTGATTACCTCAAGGTGAAGGAGTTCTGGTAACGTAGTGGTTATGAGTCATGCTGCTAACCTCAAAGTCATCAGATCAAAACTACCAGCTGTTTCGCAGGAGAAAGATGAGTCTTTCTGCTCCCGTATAGATTTATAGCCTCAGACACCCTATGCAGGTTCGCTATGAGTCATAACCAACTCTATGGCACACCACTACCATACACTGGACTGCTAACCACAAAATCAGCAATTCAAATGCAAATATGAGGCTTTGTGCTCCCATAAAGACTTACAGCCTTGGAACCCCTCTACAGGGTTGCTATTAGTCTTAACTGACTCCACCAATCTCCACCACCACTACCTTAAGGTGAGTAGCAGTACTAAGATGTGACTTATAGGGGGCTTTATTGTTGTTGTTTTAGTGCCATGGAGTCAGCGACCCTGTGTAAGGTTTCCAAGGAGCTGCTGGTGGGTTTGAACTGCCGACCTTTAGGTTCAAACCAACCTTTCGATCTAGTGCTTATCTTACAGCATCACATGTTGTGGTTGGTAAGTACTATGAAGTCAGTTTCTGCACATAGTGACTCTGTATAGGGTTTCAGAGACTGTAAAGCCTCGTGAGAGCAGAAGGTCTTATCTTTTTCTCACAGAATAGTTGGTGGGCTCAAACTGTCAACCTGTAGCAAGCAGTCCAATACTTATCCTACAGCATCACACTGCTCCCATAATCTATGTTAAGTGCCGTTGGGTCGGTTCTGACTCATAGAGACCCTGTATAGGGTTTCAGAGAAGCTGCTGGTGGGTTTGAACTGGCGACATTGTAGTTTTCAGTCTAGTGCTAATTCTACAGCTCCACACCAGGGAACTAACCTGCATTCGTTCCCTCAAAAGTCACTCCACACAAATAAGGAGAGCTTAGAAAAAGAAAGGTGGGGTTTCTATTTCCACATTCCTTCCTAACCTCCCTACAAGCCCATCTGATAAGATCAGCATCCCTAAATATTTCTACATAGACATTATGAAGTTAACATTGCTTTAGGTTAGTGAAATGAGAAGATTATATTTCATGTAGGTTTTGTTTTGTTTTACTTTTAAAATGGTTCATGCAATGTTTTTTGGGATTTACATTCTGCTTTTTGAGCAATGAAATTAATTATAATTTTCAAAAATGGAAATGTTATTGTTCACTAATTTAAGTCCATGTTTTATATCATTGTAATAAGGTATTTTGGAGACATCTTTAATGGACCTCAAAGTCTCAAAATCAAATAATTTAATTGTTTGTATGTAAATAATAATGGGGATCATGGGGCTCTGTAGGAGAAGCACTGTACTACTAACCACAAAATCAGCAGTTCTAGTACATTAGCTGCTCCTTGAAGAAAGATGAGACTCTTTCCTCCATGAAGATTTTAAAGCCCCAGAAACCCTTTAGAGGGTTGCTATGTGTCAGAACCAATTCTATCGAATTAACAACAAAAATAAATAATCTAAAATATATCACATTATATGTAAATGCTTAACATATTATGTATTTAGTTAAGAGATAGTTTTCTGTGTTGTTGTTTTTTTTTTTTAACTCTAATGGTAACTTCCTGTTTGTGAAAATTTTCCCAAAAGTAATTACTTGGCACAGAAAGACAGGTAATGAGGTGTATGTGTTAAGGCCACTGAATGGGGTGTTGTCTGGGGCACTAATTCACCTAAGTGTGAACCTGGACCACATAGTTGGTTTTGCTTTGCTCCAGTTTACTCATTCCTTCTAAACTCAAAAGAAGAAAATTATAGTGTCTCTAAGATTACCTCCTTCTCTAACATTTTAAAATTTTGTTATTTATTTCTATCCTCTTCCAATTATAATGCTAAATCAAGTTTAAGAAAAAAAAAACAGCAGCAGCAACATAATCTTGCATTCTCATGTTGGCAAGACTAGTTAATAGAAACCATTTTTAAGGAACATCCACATGGGAACACCCACATGCTGACATTCACTAACCCAAAATAGGTGGTTATTAATATCAATAACTCCATTGTTTACATTAATCAAATTAATGGGATCCGTGCCAAAATTTCACCTTTGTTAAAATGCCAAAGAGTCCTAGATCTCTCATTCTCTATGTCTATCTCCCCCTCCTCTCTCTCCCTTCCTCATCTCTCTCTCACACACACACACACATACACTATCATCACTTCTATGTTTCTTTTCATCATTCCCTTCCTATTCTATCTGACATGCAAAACTTTTCAGGTATATTATTTTACTATAATACTTAGGAATATGATTCTTTCTTGACCAGGAGTAGCTGAAAGGAAATGTGCCTTTGTTTTCAGAACCCAGTCTTGGGGCCAATGGTCTCCTACCACCTGCTGCTTCCTGCATTCCCAAACTCCCATTTTAGCTAGATTTCCTGGGAGAAAGGAGAAAACTGGAAGGGAGGGGAAGAAGGCTGGTGCTAGCAAGAGGCGGGGAGTAAGGAATGAAAGGCAGGAGGAGGCGTGGCCCGGCTTGGGGCAATCGGGATAAATGCTGAGAACTGGGTGCGGAGTGTAGGGAGAGAACTCCAGAGGAACGCCTGAGCGGAGCAGCACCGAGGACAGCGCCCGGCAGCGCCCGCGCCCTCGTCTTCCTCGTCAGCCCAGCTCACACACTCAGGTTCTCACTCACTCCACACTCGCACGGACGCACACTCGCAGACACACACTCGCTGTACAATGGCAGAATCACACCTGCAATCATCCCTGATCTCAGCCTCACAGTTTTTCGAAATCTGGCTTCATTTCGACGCTGACGGTGATTATCTTCTCTTTTAAAATTTTTCAAGATCCGTTTCCTACCCTCTACCCTATCCTGATCTCTTCATTCTTTTTCTTCATTTTTTCCTCCCCCGGCCCTTATCTCCTGGCTATCCACCAAACCATCAACCTGAAAGTTTGTGCTGTCTCTGTGTACTCCTAAAACCTTTAACTTTTCTCCCAAGAAATGGCAAAGGTAAATGGGGGACAGAGAGCTCAAGAGATAGGATTAAGGGGCCCTGCCCCCCAAAGTTTCCATGGCTGCGTTCAGAACCTAACATCTTCTTGTACCTTCAGCAGATCTAAAGTTTGACACACTGGGAGGGAAGCGTTGCGGGTTAATACGGACTTTCACCAATGTCAAGGCTAGGAAGAGCCTCCAGGTTGCCAGGAAAATAGTTGTCCTGGAAAGCGAACCGGGAAGAGATGTGTAACACCTGGGTACCTCTTTGTCTTTGCAGGAAGTGGTTACCTGGAAGGGAAGGAACTGCAGAACTTGATCCAGGAGCTCCAGCAAGCGCGGAAGAAGGCTGGATTGGTAGGTTCAAGTTTGGGGAGAAGGAAAAAGACCTTCGGCCATAAAATAATAAGCATTTTTCGGTTTTCCTAAAGAGCCTCTGGAGTCAAGTGGTTCTCCGGGAATGTAAACCTTAATTGCCAGAGATAGGGGAGAGAGAGCGTCCTTCTAAATTGGTTAAAGGGAAGAGTGGGGAGTTAAAGAGGCGGAGAGAGAGAGATTTCCTCAAGGGAAACCGGAGCTTTTAAAATATGTATTCTATACTTGTACTTTCTTAAATAGTTTTTGAAAGGAAATCTGTGGGTGTGTGAGTTCCTTTAGCAGATCATCACCTCTACCACTGAGTTTGTTAGATAATTTTTAACTTCTCTATTTTTTTAACTGTGTGAAAAGTGAGGGGGTAGAAATACATTTCTGCCCCTTGGTGGTCAGGAAACAGATCTGCAGATGAAGGATCTCTCTCTTATCAATTATTACTGATGTGATGTGTATGAGATGAGCAAATGTCCTGTATTGACCCTCCTCACTGAGGATAAATTAGGCAACTTGCAACACAATAATGAATAGGAATTTAGCAAGAAAATGTCTTAATTTCTGATGAATGCAAAACCCCCAAAAGTTAGAGATATAAAAAAACAACATTTTTTTAAAATTCCATGTATTTTTAAAAAGCAAAGTGATACTCTGAGGGGAAGCAATATGAGCTATCTTTGTGATTTAAACCATTACTTAATTAAACAAATGACCATTCTTATAAATTATGAATGGCTTCCTTTGGGTATAAATTTACCTGTTAAGAAGAGATGTTGTGTTGTTGTTATTAAGTGCTGTTGAGTTGGTTCCAACCCATATAGGGTTTCCAAGGAGTGGCTGGTGAGCTTGAACCACTGATCTTGTGGTTCAAATGACTTTGCAGTCCAGCAAATTAACCCACAGCACTACACCAGGACTCCCAAGAAAAGGTGTCATAAGCATAAAAATAAAATGATCAGCTTTAAACAGTACTGAAAAGGTTGTATGAGGTTAAGAACATTACTAATCTATTGAAGTTTATGTAAGATTGGCTTTTAGAAGGCAATGCTGGATTTGGGTTAATGGAATGATCTTCAGACTGACGATGGTTAGAAGAAACTTTACATTATAGGGCTGGGGAATATATTTGTGTATATATGTGTATACACACACACACACACATGCATACATTTGAGGGGACTTCAAAAAGTTCCTGAAAAAATGATATGAAAATATAGTAGAATTTTCCCATGAACTTTTTGAAACCTACTCATATGTACTTATGTATGTATATATCTTAATAGGAAAATGTATGTGCAGAGATTCTTTTAAAGACCCCTACCTTTAGCACTGAGCTATATACACGTAATTTGCTAATAGAATTACCATTTGGTTCTATCTAAATTGAAAATTGTGTAATACACATCTCTGTACAACATATTCAAAGGAATCCCAGAGGGCTCTAAATGGACTAAACTGTCAGTTGCTAAAATCATCGACCAAATTGGTTTAAAACCAAATCATTCTCTAAGGACTGCTTTACCCAGATTTAATGTTATATAAATCTAAAAATATAATGCAATAGGATCAATAAAAAATGTTTATATTCTATTTCTTACTCTTCATACCCTTCTCCCATCACATGTACCATGCAAATAAATTCATAAATTCATGCAATACTATCATTATAATTCTATATATCTTTATCAAATAAAACAAATTCTTTTCCTCATTTTAAAATAAATGAATTGAAAAAGTCTCATTTTCTATAGATTCTAAGATTAAAACCTGGGAAGCTACTTCTGGGTACTAAATAATTACATTTTATTTTTTTTTCTAGATGTGATTTTAATATTAAGATTTATTTTCATCTTGGAAATTTAAATACTTAGAACAGAATTTTTAAGATTTTTTCCTTTTCTTCTCTAACTTTTCCATACCTTTTTGTAAATAACGTCTGTATGTGGGCATTTTAGAGTTTAGAGATTACTGTTTTCTGCTATCTAGGCACCAATTTTAAGATAGTTGAAGCTCTAGTTATTAGATTACAATCTAATAATACTAAACTTGAGCAAAGTTAAAGGATTATATCAAGTTGGTTAAAACCATGATTTCTGATTTTGTGTTTTGATTATGTACAGATGCTTTGGATAGTTAAAATCTAAATTAATATCTGGATTGAAAGGTACATGAAGTAGACATATACCAACCATTGTATTAAAACTACTTTTGTATATTTCTATTTTTTAACATAAAGTTTGAATCTATAAACCAGAATTCTTAACGTTTTTGCTATATGATAACAAATTTTCTTATTAAAGAAAAATTGTTTACCATCTCATATTAATAATGTGAAACTTCTAAATTTTCACTAATATTAAATATGAATGAGATTCAAAACATTCATGAAAAAAACACATTGACTTTTAAATTCCATTTTCCTATCAACTTTTTAAAGTCTTAATAACAATAAAATATAGTAACCAAATAGATTCTTTTAAAACTACCCTGGTGTGCGGTAAGAAAGGCACTGGACTGTTGGTGGTTCAGATATTTTCAAAAGACAGCTGCTCTTCAGAAACCCTATACTAGGTTGCTATGAGTTGGAACCAACTCAACAACACTTAGCAATAACATCAGCAACCCTTTTACACTAAGCATGTGCTTAATCTTTAAGTTTACACTCATTTTTATAAACTTAATCTTTAAATGTACATTAATTTTTATAAAGGTTTATTTTATTATTATCTTTTATACTATTTAAAACATATTTAATTATAATTATCTCTCAGAAAGTTCACAGTCAAGTTATTTAGTTTTATTAGTGTTATTATGCAATTCTTCAGATTTAAGAATAAATACTTGGTTTTTTTGTTACCTTAAGGTATGTATTTAAAAAAAAACAAACCTAGGAACTGGTAGTATCACTATTGCCATTGGGAAAATAAAAACCTTTATTTTCCTATAATTGTTGCTATAATACAAATTTAACAAAGGCAAATTATAATTTTTTAATAGTAGATAAGGTTGTTTTTGTTTTGGTAGCATAATGGTTACAAGTCAGACTGCTAATCTTAAGGTCAATAGTTGGAAACTACAACCATTCCATTGGGGAAAGATGAGGTTTTCTGCTCCTCAGATACTCTATGTAGGGTTGCTATGAGTCAGAAACAACTCCACAGCACACAACCACCACCAACACCAACACCACCATATTATAATTAAATTACTGTGCTACTATTTGTTACCTTAAATCTCATTATGGCATTTATAGTACTTGTTGTTAAGTGCCATCAAGTCATTTCCGACTCATAGTGACCCTGTATGGGCGTGCGTTTCAAACCAACTTTGCAGTCCAGTGCATTAACCCACAGCGCCACAGCAGGCCTCCTCTGTAGTACTAGTAGTAATGATATTCATTCTCAACATAGTCCTTATATTGTTACATTAACTTTTCTACTCCTAGTCTAAGTCTGTGTGTATCACCTTCTTAGTAATGGTGAACATCGGGACCTTAATTTCCTTTTCCAAGGATACACAGTAGGACATTAGTAAGAGCTGACCTATTTTAAATAGGTTTTGGTTAATGCAACAGAGCTATTTTAAATGGACTATGTTGGAGACCCAAGGGTAAAAATTCAGATTCTGAATATCAGTTCTATGTTCAGACCACTAGTTTACAGTTCATAGCTCTCTGCTGTGTCAATATGTGAAGAGATTATATAAGCAATGGAAGAGATGATAAAAACAAGCCATATGAGAAGAAAGTATTACATTTGTCACTCTTAAATATGTCTTAGTGTAATAAAATACATGGGAGGGAGAACATCATCTTGGGAAAAAATGGAAACAAGGCAAACTTGAAAACTCCGGAAGTTAGTTAACGTAGAAAACTCTGAAGCATAACTAGCCAGTGGCATAATGTAAGGTCATTGACTTTGTTTTTCTCTGATAAAAGCACAAATTGGTAAAGTCGTTATCTGATATAGCTTCTTTCTGAATTTTTGTTTTTAGTGTATTTAATCGACTAATGACCCTTCAATGTTAAAAAAAAAAAAAAATTCTTTGCTTACTGAGTCACTTTTCAACATTTGCACTTTTAACCTATACAAACTGAAAATACATACTGTCACCTTCCATGGAGAAAATGTAATGGTAGAATGAGGGACATACTACAGGAAGATAGTATAGCAATACGAAAGAATCTTTACAGAAGAAATCAATGTTTAAAGTACATTAACAGGGATCGTTATATTTAAATGCACTATAGATTATGAATAAAATAACTCTGACTACATTTTCAAAAGACAACATATTCTCAAAACTGATCATCTGTTTTGTTAAGTGTCATCAAGTTGGTACTGACTCATAGAGACCCTGTATAGGGTTTTCAAGGAGCAGCTAGTGAGTTTGAACCACCAACTTTATGGTCCAGTGCTTTATCCTATAGTGCCACACAAAACTGATAGCAGAAGATAAATAATAGTGAATGGTTAAAAAATAATAGTCATAATTATAACTCTTTCATTTTGAAGTCATAAATATTGTGTATCTGTTATATCTAATTTTATAAGAATTGTTCATCAGTGTGCATAAGTCTAAATAGTTCCAATTCCAGATATTTTTGTAATAATTTTCAACACCATCACAAGCATATTTGTGTTGTTGTTTTTAAAATAAACTTCCTACCTGCTTTTATGTCATTTTAGGAGTTATCACCTGAAATGAAGACTTTTGTGGATCAGTATGGGCAGAGGGATGATGGAAAAATAGGAATTGTAGAGGTAAGAGAGAGATATGCATTTTTCTGAACTATAATTTGAGTGAATAAGCTTCATTTTGTAGTTGTATCCAGCTCAACCATGATATGGCAAGACCCATTTAGAGAGGCTTGTTTTCTCTAAATAGCATGTTATCTTCTGTTCATTAATATAAAATAAAAAATGTTTGAAAATAAGAGGCCTAAGAGTTTGCCTATTCCTTAGTCTAAATTTAGTCCATTAAACAATTGACATCCAAAAGACTTAAATAGTTTTCTCTGGTCATTCAACCATTTGCTGGTACAGGTGTACTAAGAAGCTAAAATCCCCAATTTCTAGGTTAGTGTTAATCACATTGCATTACCTAAACTTACTTCAATAAATGCCCAAACAACAAGTACATAGCTAATTGGTGTTTCTTATCATCCAAAAATAAAGTTTTCTAATAAAATATAAAATTATATATATGTTGTTGTTGTTGTTACATGCCGTGAAGTCAGTTCTGACTCACAGCAACCCTGTACAGGATTTCCAAGGCTATAAATCTTTATGGGAGAAGAAAGCCTCATCGTTCTCCTGCGAAACAGCTGGTAGTTTCGAACTGATGACCCTGAGGTTAGCAGCCCAATTCGTAATCACTACACTACCAGAGCTCCATATATATCTGTGTGTGTGTATGTATGTATGTATAATTCCTATTACATTTTCAAAGCAAAAACCTGCATTCTGGTTTCAAAATTTTTATTTTAGATTGCCAGTTGGCCTTACTAAAAACACAAGAGCTTAACTAAAGTGAGTAATATTTTATGATCTTTTGTAGGCACAGATTTCTTTTGCATCTTGAAAAGTAAAAATTGTGGATATTATATCTTATCTTTTGACATTAACTTATCATATGGAGGACAAGTTTTTTTGTTTGTTTGTTTGTCTATGAATCCAGTAAGCACAACTTTGATTATGCACCAATTCTCCTACAGTGGTGTTCTCATGTTTGTGAAAGAACTGTCGTTTCTCTTTTTTCAGACTTGGTATTTCAAATGCTTTATCTTTACAACCTACTAGAGAAAATAAATAGAAACTTTGTCCAGAAAAATTAATAAGGTCACATTTTAAAAGATGTCAAATCACAAGCATGATTATGTTCTTAATAGAGTGATCTAAGAGTATTATTTTGTGAAGTATTCTAGCTTTCAATAGCACTTAGTTACAATTTACCTTTGGTTCAGAGAATTAACCTGGTTTTCATGTGATCAATCTTATAGGACACCTGTAATGCAACTGTGAACCACACTTATTTTTAAGCAGCTATGACAAATAGAGTTAACGAAGGGCATACTATTATTATCCTTGTAATTAAATTTCTTCCCTGGGGTATACACTTTCCCCTATGCCTATGGTAACTCATTATTATATAAATAGATAAATTAATTGTAATGGGACATACAAATTAACAGAAAAGAACTAATCAGGAAATGAAATTATCAAAGATAAAATAAATTTAAGATGAACAATAATAGGAGGTAAATATAATTATTCAAAGTTAGTTGTAAAATCTAAAATCAGGGAAATTATAGACGTAGCTATTTCAGAGTTTTGCATGCTTTATAATTCTAGCAGAGGAAGATGGCTGTCATCCTTATATTTGACGTATTTCAACTTTAAGAATTCTAATGGGCTCAATAATTTATTCAACCTAATTTCTCCAGCAATAGTAGGTTATGTAATATTAGTAATATAAAAGGCATGGTTCTGATTCACATGGATTTTTACATCTTTAAAGGAGTGCTGGTGTGGAGATGTGGGTTAATGTGCTGGACTGCAAAGTCTGTTTGAACCACAAGGTTGATGGTTTAAGCTCACCAGCTGCTCCTTGGAAACCCTATGCAGGGACACTATGGGTCAGAACCAACTTGACAGAACTCAGCAACAACAACAACAAAAGATATGGATAAAGCTACTGTGAATACAGGATTTACTATATTTAATATAATCCAATCTTTCATGACTTTATTTTTTTTAAGTGACTTGAGGTCAAATTTGAATGAGAGGTGAGGAGTTGCTTAGCAAATACCTTCTCTTGGAAGCTTGATGAAAGAAACTTCCCCAGATGTTTGAAAAGAAAAGCTGTCATATCTTTCTATGTGAAGAAAGATAAAGACCCATAAGAAGAGTGAATGAATAAGTTAAAGGCAGCTGAAATGAAGAATTAAGGGACTTTATCAGAAAAATAATGACTTTTGTATGATATTATGCAATTTATAAAGTGTTTCCAATTACATTGTCTCATTTGATCCTCATAATAATAAGATAAAATAAGTCTAAAGATAAAACAAGAATCTGTTTTACAGATGAGGAAACTAAGGCTTCAAGAGGATTTGTCTAAGGTAAAAAAATAAATAAATAAATAATACATGTTCGAACATACCAGAACCCAGTCATGTTTCTCTAAACTACTCTGCCCTTTTAAAAAAAATAAGACATAAAGTATGCATTTTCTTCATTAATATAAAGATTCAAGCTTCAGTTGGTTGATTACTTGTGACAAAGATTTTACTTTGGTTGGACAAAATGTATAGAAGTTAGTTTGTCAAAACACTTGAAACACACTTTTCAGATCAGCTGAAATAGAAAGTTTGGAGGGAGATGCGAAGCATATCAGAATCAATGAAAAAGTTTTAATGTTCCAAGGCATGGAACTTTTTGCTAGCCAGGACCCTTAAAAATAATTAACTATGAAACAAAGTGTGTGATTTGTTGAATGTAAAACTAACAATCTCTGTAAACCTTCACTTGATTCACTATAAAAAGCTTTCTTTAAAAAAATTAGCTAGAGCCCTCATTTTAAAGATGAAGAACTAGAAACCCAGAAAGGTTGAATGATTTGTCCCAGGTCCACATAAGGAATGGCAAAACCTGTATATAAACCTAGACCTGAGTCTGATTACTGAGCTCTTTTCATTAAAAGTCAGTTATCAGCCAACAGAGGGGTAAAGATGGCAATTAGCTGGAGAGAACTGGAGAACTGCAATAGTCCAGATGCATGTCTGTTCAGTCTAAACCAAAACAAAAAAAAAAAACTATTGTCATCAAGTCAATTCCAGCTCATGATGACCCTATAGGACAGAGTAGAACTGTTGTTGTTAAGCGCTGCTGAGTTGATTCCGACCCATAGCAACTCTGTATAGGGTTCCCAAGGAGTGGCTGGTGAGCTTGAAATGCCGACCTTGTGGTTCAAATGACTTTGCAGTCCAGGGCATTAACCCTCAGCACCACACCAGGACTCCAGAGTAGAACTAAGGTGGTAAAATAAAAGTAAAGTGACAGAGAGAGGTTCTAAAAATTATTGGGGGGGGAAAAAAATGAACATTATAGAACAAATGAAGAAAAGGAGGCGAGAAAATGCCATTGAGTGTCACTAGGAAGTTGTGTTGAAATAGTTCATCCTTGCTCTTTCCAAACTGATGTATGTTCTTTTAGTAAGAAAGGCTGTATACAACATCAGACACAAATACACAAACCCCAGCCAGCAATGAAGGAACAAAAAACTCTTGTGTTTCCCAAAATGTGTAAAGATCTGGCTCTTCATGTCAAGTACATCATAACTTTGGTGTTCAAAGGAAAGAGAGGTTGGATCTACTTATATATTAAAATCCCAAACCAAACGCATTGCCAATAGGTGGATTCCAACTTATAGCAACACTGTATAGGGTTTTTTAGGCTATAAATCTCCACAGGAATGAAAAATCTCATCTTTCACATGTTAGTCCTATTTAATACAACTGCTGATGGGCTCAGTTAATTCAATGAAAGTAAACCAAACCATGACGATGCAGTTCCCTTTCCTGATAGAACAGGCCTAAACAATTTGACTCTACTTTAAATGTTGTTCAAAGACTGGAAAATATAACGATTGCTTTTATAGTTTTGGCCTAATAATATTGACTGACATTTTCCAACATCATCATGCAATGGCCACTTAGAAACATGCAAGAAGGAGAATAATGAACAGACATACTTTCTTCTTAACTTTAATTTCCTGTCTTTAAAAAGATTATAAAGTTCATACAAATACAGTTCAGTAATAAAGACATTGTTAATAGGAACACTGAAATTCTGAGATATTTACCAAATACCATGACTGTCAAAAAGGTTCTAAAGTGTTCAGACTTATACTCTATTGCAGAGAAGGCTGGTTAAAACAATTAAAGATGAAAATGGAAGGATTTCACAGAATTTTATTCTCTGATGCTTTCATCTGTATAGCTAGTTCCCTAAGTGGAGGTCATATCTGTAAGCTTTCCCTTAAAATTAAGCAAAGTGTGGAAACCTACCATCCTCAAATTCAGTGTTTGGATTTGCAGGTCAGTGCATCCAATAGGGGGAAAAAATAGATCTAAAAGCTATTTTAACCCTAAAACTGTAACAATCCTCCCAGGGAAGCAAGCACTTCTCGAACCGTTCCCTCTTTTTTCTACAGTATGTTTGACGATCTGAGTTTAGTCCTGGTGAGTGTAATTTTTCCCTGTGAACTACTTTTCTACTTCAGAATTTGGAGAAATGTCTGACAGTGATATCTGATTAAAGATTTTGCTCTGGAGAGAGATTTTAAATAATTAACTGGGGAAACTTTTCTGATGGAAGATTTTAGTAGAGAGTGATAAAGGTAAGGGATGAGGGACCCAAAAACATAAAAAGCAAAATATGACTTCAAATCTGGCTCAAGCTACAAGCTGTGTGTTAAGAGAACATGTAATCTCTCAGATCCTTTGTTTTAGCAGCTGTGAATATGGATGACAATATATTAACTTCACAAGGTTATTATGAGTATCAAGATCAAACAATATAACACAGCAAAGCAACTAGGTAAACCCAGGCACAATTATATACAAAGGCACAATAAAGGTACATGTGCATTTGATATTATTTTTTCAATAACACATTAGAAAATATGTACCATTCTGCTGAATGTCAAGTCTTTTCCCACTTCTTATACAATTTGTCAAATTCAAGTTATTGAACTCAAT